TGATGGCTCCCTTGGGAGCAGACCTAAGTCGCAGTCTAGCCTTCCTTTGCGGGAGGCAACTGGGCTGATCAGGGAAAGGCGCCAACCCCATCACCCTGCTGCTGCAGCCACTGCCAGTCACCAAAGCCGCCAAGCTATTTTCATCAACATGGATTCCAGTCCCTTCACCATGAAAAAAATGACAACTTTCTTAAAGCATTTTCAAGATGTGTCTTTCATAAGATATGACATTTCTTTATTTTCCTTTTAATCCTCACCTGAGGATATGTTTCCATTGATTTTCCCCCCATTCCCTTCGATCCCAGGCTTGGCCACTTCCCAAGCCTAAAGCCTCTGCCCAGTGGCCGGCTGGGAGTGATCTGGGTGCCGAGGAGGTTCCCAGGACCCAGGTATATATGCAAATTAACTGACATCTTTGTTCGGTTGATTTGCATACTCAATCTGATTAGTTGTGGGTGTAGTGGAGGTATGGTCAATTTACATGTTTCTCTATTATTAGGTAAGATTTATTTATTTATTTATTTATTTATTTATTTATTTATTTATTTACAGAGAGGAAGGGAAAGGGACAGAGACTTTGAAACATCGATGAGAGAAAAACATCTATCAGCTGCCTCTGCACATCCCAAGGTAAATGCCCTTGACCAGAATTGAACCTGGGACCTTTTAGTCTGCAGGCCAACATTCTATACTCTGAGTCAAACCAATTAAGGCCTAAGGATATTTTTCTATTGTTTTTAGAGAGAGTAGAAGGGAGGAGTGGGGAGAGAGAGAGAAAGAGAGGGAGAAACATTGATGTGAGACATATTGATCTGCTGCCTCCTGCACATGCCCAGACTGGGGCTGGGTATTGAGCCTGCAACCCAGGTATGTGCCTTTGCCCAGGTATCAAACCTGTGACCTTTTGGTGTGAAGGCTAATGCTCTAATCACTTAACCATTTGGCTAAGGCAAGAATATATATGTATTTTAATTCCTCCCAGTGGTATTTACTATTAAAAAATTGCATTGCACTTTTTAAAAATATATATATTTTATTGATTTTGTACAGAGAGGAAGGGAGAGAGATAAAGAGTTAGAAACATCAATGAGAGAGAGTCATCGATCAGCTGCCTCTTGCACACCCCCTACTGGGGATGTGCCAGCAACCAAGGTACATGCCCTTGACCGGAATCGAACCCGGGACCCTTCAGTCCCCAAGCCGACGCTCTATCCATTGAGCCAAACCGGTCCCGGCTGCATTGCACTTTTTTTACAAATAATTTTTAAAATTGATTTTAGCGAGAGGGGTGGAGAGAGAGAGAGAGAGAGGTTTTGTTTCCACTTACTTATACATTCGTTGGTTGATTCTTGTAGGGGCCCTGACAGGGAATCAAACCCACAATTGTGGCATATTGGGCTGACACTCTAACCAACTGGGCTACCCAGACAAGGCTGAATTACATTTTTAAACATACAGATAGTCTTAGTGTGCAATAACTACAGACCACTTCGATTCTCGGCTCTTAGGTTGACAATCACTGGTATAAGTAAAGTATCAATAATATTCAACCCTAATTTTGGTTCTTACTCTGAACCAGGCATTGTTCTAAGCACTTTACACTTATCTCACATAATTTACATCTTTCAAATCCTTTTCCTCTCAATTTAAATGTTATCTCCTCATAGTAGCCTTCCGTTATCCAAGTAGACCTACCCTCTCCCCTTTCCATTATTCCCTATCATTTCATCCTGCTTTTTTCCTTCAGAACTCCTATCACTCTAAGTAATTTAGTTACCTATTTATCTACTTGTTTACTGCTGCCTTCTGAACTAGAATATGAACTTTGAGAGCAGACAGTGTCAGTTTGGTACACTGCAATCTACCCAGTGAGCAGTACTGTGCTTGGCACAGAGGAGCCATTGTATTGGATAGTCATTGAATAATGAGCAAAAAAACCCCAACTTTATGTAGTAGATTTTCTTATTACCTCTACCATATGGGTGAGGAAACAGGCCTGGAGAGAGAAATAGAATCATTCCAATGTTATTAAGATAAAAAAAAAATTGGATTGAAGCCCATCTCTGCTTGACCCCAGAGCACAAACTCTTCCCCACTATTTTGGTCTCAGAAACATAGACTGAATACAGTCTTGGCTGTGTGTTATCTTGAGTGAGTCCGTTTTTCTCCCTGGGACTATTTCTTCCACTAAAAAACTGAGAGGGTGGAGTTAGGGTCTTCTTTATAGCGGTGCACAGGATCTGTGGCCTATGAAATGAAAAGGGGACAGTGAAGGGGCCGACAAGATGTGCTGTGCCTTAAAAGAGCTGATTTTCAGTTCACTAAAGGTTTGCTCCTCGTTATTCTATGCCAGGAGCTGTATTGGATGTCCCTTTGGATAGGAATCCAAAGACTAATAGGACCTAGTCCCCACTGTTAAGATGACTATTCTGATGGGTCAAATGCAGCCTGGTTAACAGTTGCTTAAAGTACAGTATAAGTCTGACGCTTAACGTATAGTATGTTTGAAGTACAGTTGCTTAAAGTGTAGATGCTTAAAAGTAAACTACAGTTGCCTAAAGTACAGTATGAGGCACATAGTAACATGGAAGAGGAAGAATTAATCTCCTCATATATGTGTATGGGAATAAAAGGGAGGGGTGAGATATAATGCTGAGCTGGGCCTTGGGGAAAGAATAGTTTTCTGCATGGACACAGGCGATAGAGTGGTGAAGGCCTTGGGAGGGGGGTAGAAGGGGACATATGTCATACTTTTAACCATAAAGATTTAATTTCCCGGCTGGTGTGGCTCACTCATTGAGCATCAGCCTATGAACCAGGAGGTCACGGGTTCATTTCCCAGTCAGGGCACATACCTGGGTTGCAGGCTCAATCCCAGAGTTGGGTGTGCAGGAAGCAGCTGATCAATGATTCTCTCTCATCATTAGTGTTTCTGTCTCTCTCTCCCTTCTTCTCTGAAATTAAAAAATTAAAGATTTAATTTTAAAAAGGAAAAAAAGAGAATAGTTTTCTAGGTGAATGAGATGGAAGTGAGGCTTCCTGGACATGAGACATTACGTGCAGAAGCACACCAAGAAATGTGCTCAGGGTTGTCAGGGTGTGTGTTTGGCTTCCAGAGTGTGGATCTGGTTAGGCGGGGAGAGCCCAGGAAGAGTCACGCTGAAGAGCCTGACTTTATTCCCGAGAGCAGAGGCATTAGCGTGTCACATTCACGCTCTGGCAGTGGCGTGATAATGTGGCAGTAGGTGATGGAGGAGGGTGGCGAAGTGAGGTGTAGAAACTGGCAAAGAGGCTTTGCCGTAGTCCAGGTGAGAGATGATGCGCACTTGGACTACGGTGTTCATGGCAGGATTGGAGAGAAGCTACATAAATAGGATATATTTTAAAATGCAGAGTCCAAGGATTTGGTGATTGATTAGATGAGGAAAAACAAGAATAAAGGATTTATTGGAACAGATTGGGTTGCCAAGTATAAAAAGGTGCCATGACTAATGACAGGGAATTTGAAGTGGGGTGGGAGAGATGAAGCTGGCTTTGGGCATGCTAAGTGTGAGGACTTAGCAGGAGGAAAGGTCTTTCCTTTCCAGAATGACAATCCTAGCCTAAGTCAGACTTCCTCGGGCCAGTCTCCTGACATAAAAGTCTCCAGAACCTCCCTGGAGTTCTGAGCTGCACATCTTTCAAGCATATAAGCTGCGTGTGGAAAACTTCCTGGACCCTTACTGATAGGAGAATAGATCGTGGACTTGCTTTTTAAAATCAGATACTGACTCTGGTGGAGCGAACTCTCCTGCTTCTTATAATCTCCACACTTTTAAAAATGAGCCAGCTCTAGCTCCCAGGTTGGCTCCAGGAAAGCCCCATCTCCTTAGGTCGCAGCTTTTTAAAAGATGGAGTTGCAGCCCTGGCTGGTGGTGTTACGTGTTTAGAGCGCACTGAAGGATAGCAGGTTCAGTTCCGGGTCAAGGGCACGTATCTGGGTTGCAGGTTCATCACAGACACTGTGACTAGGGCCGAGTGTGGGAGACAACCCATCCATGTGTCTCTCACATCAATGTTCTCTCTCTCTCTCTCTCTCTCTCTCTCTCTCTCTCTCTCTCTCTCTCTCTCTCCTTCCCAACGCTTAAGCTTTCTCTAAAAATCAATGGGGAAAAAAATTTCCTCGCCTGGGGATTAACAAAACAAAAAGAGGAGGTTGCAGCCTGCCCCCCCCCCCCCTCCCGTAGCTGGAGAGAGCCCAGGTCTTGGGGGGCTGGACCATCTTCCAATCACCAACCGTCTTTGGGTGTTCTCAATGCCAAGACAAGACCCCACGTAGCCCCAACTCTTTGCCCAAAGACGGGGCTGAGATCCCCAGCGCTCTCCTGGCGGGGGCAGGGCCGAGCACAGGGGCTGGATGAGGGGCCGCCCTTTAGGGCTCTCCCAGGGAAGGGGACAACCCAGGAGGCGGGAGGCTGGGCCAGTACCCGAGCCCCGGCAACCTCCCTGGCTGCTACAGCCTGTGGCCAGAGGCAGGGGCACGCCCCAAGTTCATAGGAGGCTGCCAAAACCGTTATCTCTGCTCCGCCCCCTTCTCCACGCACGACCCCGCTGTCGCGTCCATAAATCCCAGGAGCAGAGGGCGGCACGGTCCTTCCCGCGTCCTGCGGGCCCAAGAGCCGGGCACGAAAGCGGTGCAGTCCCCAGCTTCCCCTGCAGAAGCCGCGCTCCCCGCTCGGTCCGGAGGTAGAGGGGGCGCGAGAGAGCCAGTGGGCGGGTGTCCCGTCCTCCGCATCCTCCTCCAGGTCCTGGCGCGCAGGGTGGGAGCGAGGCGCGGCTCCGCGCTGCGCACCGCGGCCCGCTCGCCGCCTGCCCCTCGCCCGGCTGGGCCAAGTCCCCGGGCTGCGGGGTGGAGGGCTAACGAAGCACTAACGTTACGCTGTTTCCGGTTTTTCCGCAGGCTCCGTTTCCCCTCCCAAGGCGGCGGCTGAGCGGCGGAGCCCCCCAAATGGCCTGGCCAGATGCGGCAGGTTTGCTGCTCAGCGCTGCCGCCGCCGCCGCCGCCACTGGAGAAGGCTCCGTGCAGCAGCCACAGCGACAGCAGCAGCAGCAGCAGCAGCAGCAGCAAGAGGAGCAGCAGCAGCAGCAGCAGCAGCGGGAACAGCAGCAGCAGCAGCAGCAGCAGCATCTCCCGTCCCGCTGCGCCCCCAGAGCCGCGGCCGCCGCAGCCGCCGCAGCCCCGCAGCCCCGCAGCCCGGAGAGCCGCCGCCGCCCGCTCGCGAGCCGCAGCCGCCGGCGGCATGAGGCGCGACCCGGCCCCCGGCTTCTCCATGCTGCTCTTCGGGGTGTCGCTCGCCTGCTACTCGCCTAGCCTCAAGTCGGTGCAGGACCAGGCGTACAAGGCGCCCGTGGTGGTGGAGGGCAAGGTGCAGGGGCTGGCGCCGGCGGCCGGCGGCTCCGGCTCCAACAGCACCCGCGAGCCGCCCGCCGCGGGCCGGGTGGCGCTGGTGAAGGTGCTGGACAAGTGGCCGCTCCGGAGCGGGGGGCTGCAGCGCGAGCAGCTCATCAGCGTGGGCTCCTGCGCGCCGCTCGAGAGGAACCAGCGCTACATCTTCTTCCTGGAGCCCACGGAGCAGCCCTTGGTCTTCAAGACAGCGTTTGCCCCCCTCGACACCAACGGCAAAAACCTCAAGAAAGAGGTGGGCAAGATCCTGTGCACGGACTGCGGTGAGTCGCCCCCTCTCTCTCTCTCTCTGCTGGAGGGAAGGGGGGAGGGGCGAGGCGGTGGGGGATGGGGGTGGGGCGGGGAGGTGCTGCAGGTGCCCAGGCCGGGCACAGCCTGACCGACAGACCGCTGGGGGTGGGGCCGCCCCTGGGCAGGGCGGCTGGCACGGGTGGGATGAGGGGTTTGAGATCAGGGAGAAAGGAGGATCAGGCTCAAAGTGTGCCAAGGGTGGGGAAGGGCGGGGGGGGGGGGAGGAGGCGCTGGCCTGTGCCAACAGGGATCTGCGGCTGATGGATGGCATGTGTGGTTGGAAAGCTGCCATCCTAGCCCAGGAGAGTCAGGGAAAATGGAGAAGTCCGGCGGTGCCGGCCCGAGGCTCGGCGGATCCGGAGTGACCCAAGGAGGCCTTGCCCGTGCTGCTCCCACGGGCCTGCCTCGGCCAGGTTGGCAGGGTCCGCAGGAGCAGCTGGGCAGACTCCCAGGCGGTGAAGGCCTCCGCTGAGAAGTTCTCCCCGAGGAATGAGGCCCCCGCCCCCTCCTCTCTCCCCCGGCTTCTCGGGTCTGCTTACCCACACCTCTGGCGCAGGCAGAGTTGGACTTTTTCTGCTACTGTTTTCTGTGGCCCATGTGGCTCACGTTTTGTTTTGTTTTTTCTCTCCATCGTGATTTTCTCTGTCGTGTTGCCTGCTCAGCGGGTAGCCCAGCCTTCGGTTAACCTCCAGGACTTGCTAGCAGACATCCTTCGGGCTGTTTCTCCGAGATCCTACTAGGTCTGTCAATAATGATGAGGATGAACTAGAGTAACTTCTGCCCATGCTGCAAGTTCAGCTCTGACAGCTTACTGGCAGGATGTGTTGACTGCATCTTCCATCCTCATGATGTTGGGTGCTGCACAGGAATGCAGGCGATAAGAAACAAAACACAGACATCTGTGCATCTGTGTAGCTGGGGATGGAGGTCTCCCATGTCGGGAGTGAAAGAAGTGTTGGTTTAAGGATTTTCCCTTCTTGTCCCCGAGTCCAGTACTTAGTCCTCAGGAAGATAAATTCAATCCAAACTGCCCCCACGCTGAAGTATTTGGTGTTAGCTTGTCTTATGCTTATTCATGTTGGGGTTTCATTTTGTCCCGTCTAAGGCTGAATGTGGTGCTTGTGGTGTGACTCTGAACCGTGCAGTCACCGAATTGGGATAGATGTCCCGGACTGCCACGGAAGTTGGTATGGTTACCCAGCTTACCGAATCTGGGTAGTGTGACGAGGCTTTGAGTAAGTTGCAAAGAATGTGGAGCAGCTCATTGGAAGTTTTGCTGCCTTCATCTTTTTAATTCAATGCCTTTTGCTTGTGGAAGCTTCCCTACTCCTGGCTCTCCCACTATTACCATCATCCAGTCCTTCAAAAGATACATTCTAGTTTAGTGCATGGGAGAATATCTACTTTACTTTAATGAGAAGAAAGTTGCAGTGTCTTTTCTTTTTCTTTTTCTTTTTCTTCTTGCAGCGTCTTACAAAGGAAAAACATTTGGTGATAACAGCAGTTTCTGTCTCTGACACTGTTTTGTGGAATATTGTTGACTGCTCTTCAATGTTGGTTTTATGCTCTGAAATGTTTTATGGTGACAACTGGAGACCAGTTAGGAATTTTTAATTTTTTATCCTGCTAAGTGTTTTATCTGAGATCCCCTGGGGAGCCGTGGAACTGTATTGTGCAGTGGGAAATAGATAGTAAAAACATTTATTGAACCTTGTCCAAGGACAGCTTCTGTTTTGGATCTTGGTGAGTTGCTCCCGAATATGCACAGAGCACATTGCCAGGCTCATCGACGGAGACCTAGTGGTGATTGTCAGATGACCCCACAGGGTAACTGGCTTCTCTGCTTCTAGTCCCCCGCTCCCCCTCACCCCTCACACACAGCATCCCTTGTTTGTTTCAGTGAGTGTTGAAGAGTTGAATGTAGAGATCCTGAAAGATTTGGGGGGGTCAGAAATATAGTCTGCTTTTAGGTTATGGTCATCTCATGATTGAAATAGCATGTGTAGTACAGGTCTCAAAAAAGATAAATTTAGAACTGCAATCACTGCTAAAAAAAAAAAAAGGTCCTCGCCCATCACAAATTATCACGGAGCAGGAAAGGTATCTGTAGGATACTCAAAAATATTCGCTTTGAATTGATAGTATATAGATTCAGATCAGTTTTGGAGGGTTATATAAGGGGAGTAGAAATTAAAGGACATTTTTGTGAGAAGAAACTTGTAAAACTGGTGATAATATGCCAGAAGAGCATAAACTGCATTTTCTCGTTTTCTATTATGTGGTTAAAGAAAACATGCACTGGTAATGGTATATTAAATAAGGAAACAACATCTTCCTTGTGCTCAGCAGGAAATATCTAACAAATTCATTTTCTGTTTTCTATCTCTAAAGAAAGCCCTCTGGGCCTCAGGGTCATTGGGAACACTTTCTCCTTGGAGCACATTTACCCATTGCAAAATAGGGAAACTGGCATTTGGAGACTGTCATCATGGCCGTTATGTTGAGCAACTGTGGTTGAATGGTTACTTTGTTTAGCCAGTTTCAGCTCTAAGTGTGTGTAGGTTCTGAAAGGTGTGGTTCCCAGAGAGATGTAGAAAGTTGTGTTTTGGTGGGCTAGGACATTGGGATAGCATCTTGTACAGAGGAAAATGTGATGCTTAACAGATGGCACATGTCTTAGGAGCATTCACTGAGGGGTCATACTGGACCCCTTCCACAAGGTCCTCAGCAATGGCTCATTTCACTGCAACTGGGAAATGGTGACTTGAAGTCTGTACAGTCCTCCTGGTAATCGTCTGAGGGGCATTTTTACAGATCTAATGTGTGTCATTCACCCCAAAGAACTACCTCTGGTGATAAAGAGTTGAATAAAATCTTGGCATTTCTGAGAAGATTGCACACATGGAGGGATTCTGGAGGAAAGGAGAGGAAAGATGGAAAGGACGCTCAGAGATTAGCAAAGCAACTCTGGACAGTGCTGTAAGAGCATCCTGCTCTGCAAATAGTCCTGTATTTTTAATAATGATTGCATATACTTTGGTATAATCACACTATAACTAGGTTCTTCCATATATATATGGATCTTGGTGAGTTCCATATATATGATTTTAATCTGTTTTCCTATTGGCAGGATATAGTAAATAGCATAAAAAAGAAAGCTCATTCTTTCTTTGGGACTTTCTGATATGAAGTTTTCTTCCAAAGTATAGTGTACTTTGTTGTTGAAGATGGAAAAAGGTGTGTTCCTGGGGGATATCACATTCTTTAGGGTCATTTTTAATTAATTTGGCACCTAAATTCACATATTAGAGAAAGGTGGTCTACAAAATTCAAAAGCGACTGCATATTTTAAAAATGCTGTTTATTTAAAGAAGCTTTGCTTCCCCAGCCAGCTGGAAACCCAGCTGTGCTACAGTTGAAGGTGGGAAAGTGAAACTAGGATAGAAACTGACCAGTCCTGCCCAGCTGGAGTGGCTCAGTGATTGAGCATGGACCTATAAACCAGGATTCCCAGTCAGGGCACAGGCCCAGATTGTGAGCTTAATCTCCAGTGTGGGGCATCAAGAGACCACTAATCAATGATTCTCTCTCACTGTTGATGTTTCTATCTCTCCCTCTCTCTTTTTCTCTGAAATCAACAACATCAACAAATTAAAACAAAAACAAAAAAACTGACCATTCCTAGTGGTGAGGAGTATAAGTCTAGGTTATAGATTTAGGGATAGAATTACTATCATAATGTCATTATTTCTTTCATTGGCTGCTTTCCTCCGAAGACTGTGATTCTTATAGGCAGGAACCATATCTTTTTTATTTTATTTTACTTTAAAAATATATATTTTTATAGTATTACAGATATCTCCTATTTCCCCCTTCCCCTCGCCCCATTTTTATCCCCTCCTCTAGTCCCTATCTCCACCCCCAGGTCTTCACTACCCTATTGCCCATGTCCATGAGCTATGCATATAAGTATGTAAGTTCTTTGGTTTATCTCTTTTCATACCCCCAACCCCATATCTTATCGTTGAGTTCTTTTGTGTGTGTGTGAGTTATAAAACAACAACACTGGTTTGAGGGAGAGAAACATCGACTTGTTGTTCCACTTATTTATGTGACGCTCTCACCAACTGAGCTATCAGGCCAGGGCTATCTTTGAATTCTTGTGTCTCTTTGCTCTCCTACCCCCAGCATTTGATGCTGGCCTTGGCTTATAGTGGGACTCCCGTAAGCGTCGTTTGAATGGATGAAGTCAAGTGAGGTTAAAAAAGCAAGCCTCCACTAATACTAATAATATTAAGACCATCTTAACTTGCAGGTCTGTGACACTTACGTCCAGGGCTAAAAGGCTGGGTTTGATGACAGCCTTTACCTGTGCTGTGGGAACTTTTCTTCCAAAGGAGTCAGTCAGCTCGAGTACTTAACCCAAAGTGCTTAATCATTGTGCTGATCGGCGTTAATGGGATCTGAGCTGCGGAGAATAAAGGTCTTGCTGGCTGGAGAAGAACACCCTCCAGTAAAATGCCTATCAGTTTGAATGAACAAATGGTAAACTACAGAGAGTGGTATATGAACTAATGGGGTGATTAACTTCCTCTTCGGTCCCAATCCTCTTTACCATCTTATATTATTGAGGATATTTTAAACTTATTTCCTAACAGCAAATACATCAAGTTAGCTTTTTTTCTTCTTTATAAATTTATATTTATGTTTTTGAGTATATAACACACATATATGGCTCAAAATTTATACGGTGAAAAGTCTTTTTTCTCACTTCATCCTCAGCTACCTGGTTCTAAGGTAATTGTAAAATAACATTATTGAAATGTGTATCTCTCTAAAATCAGAATGTTTTCAAATAGTCATATATATATATATATATATATATATATATATATTTTTTTTTTTTTTTAACAGATGGAGAATGTTAATTTTGCCATTAGGATAATCTTATAGTAAATTCTTCACATGCAAT